AGTTAGTAGTTAGTAGTTAGTAGTTAGTTAGTTAGTAGTAGTATAGTATATATATATATATATATATATATATATATATATATATATATATATACAACTGTATCCTAACACTATTGTGGATGGTATGTATCCACTGCATTTTTTATCCAACTTATCCAAACACATATTCCTCATAAAAGCAATATTTGGCATGCACATGCGTCAAGGCGCACATGCGTCAAGGAGCACTTGAGATCTTCGTGACAGAGTATTTGAATGAACAAACTACAAACGAGCACAAACGCCATCTAACAATAAAATCGGTACATATAAACACCAAACAATACAATCGGTACATATAAATACCAAACAATACAATCGTTAGATATAAACCCTAAACCTTTACTGCACTATGCTTACGTATCTCGTGGACCCGCTGCGCTACACAGATATACCATTCAAATATCCATACACAAACACAATAAAAGGAACATTACACAATAAATGTACACTGTCGTGGTGCACATTCATACCCATACACATAGATCAAGATCAGGAGTAGACAACATGAATAAACATGTTAAAGTCAACAATAGCCATGGTAGTACACCCACCCGTCAGAGGAAGAACACCCATGTTTACAGATGCGGTTACGCTGGCCAAGCACATTCCTGTTTGACTAGGCACACTCCTGCTGCGCCCGTGTTAACTTCCCTGTGTTAATTCACCTGCTAACACCCCTGTTAACACACTATTTACACCCCTGTTGACCCCCCTGTCAACACCCCTGTCAACACGCCTACTAACACCCCTGTTAACATCCCTACAAACACCCCTATTAACACCCCTGTTAACACACCTGATAACACGCCTACCAACACCCCTGTTAACACCCTTATTAACACCCCTGTTAACACCCCTATAAACACCTCTGTTAACACCCCTATAAACACCCTGTTGACCCCCGTGTTGGCGCTCACCTGCCAGTCGTCCACCACCCAGTCGGCTTTCCACTTCCACCCCATGGGAATCTTAAAGTCGTCGCTGGAGGGCACGGGCTCTCCTTCGGCATTGCTCCACTCGCCTCGTTTGTCCACATACGGAATCAACCAGTTCACAGAGAACCCGCCCACAAGACCAGACCTACACAACCAATGCACAACGCAGGCCGTCACTCAACTGTGTCTGTGCACTCTGCGTGCATGGCGTTT